TTGTCATCAGCCTGTGTCATAGCTTAACTTCTTGTCGTATGAGTTCACCTTTATATTTTAATGCTGTCTATGGCCAAATATAAAGGAGTTGGTGCCAGTTGCTTCCAGAACAGTGTATTCCCTCAAGAGCTACAATTCCAAACACCAACTCTGTTGGTAATGTTGGCAGCCATTGACCTGAAGATCACCAATTTTTTTTATTTGCCAAAAATTTAGGAGTGTCTGTAAATAAAAAGGAATGTATAAGTTAGGAGTAAACTATTCAGTCCTTCGAGTTTGCTCCGCTATTCAGCAAGATCCTGGCTGATCTGATTATTGCATATTTCTGCCTATGTCGGAAATCTTTTCACCTTGTGTCTTATCAAGAATTGACTTAACGCTGCCTTTAAAATATCCAAAGGCTCTGTTTCCATTGTCTTTTGAGGAAGAGAGATCCAAAGACTTATGACCATCCTGGAAAAAAAATTACCTTCATTTCTGTCTTAAATGGGTAACCGTTTATCGTTGAAACAGTGACTTTGAGTTCTAGGCTCCCCAAGACAGGAACTGTCCATTCCACATACACTCTGTCAAGACCCCTCAGGATCAAGAGACGATGAGGGGACTGGGACTAATTGTTCGAGATCATACAGACTTGATGGTCTGGATAGCCTCCTGTTTTGCATGATTCTAGAGAAATACACTTTTTTTGAAAATATTCTACATTCCAGAGAAGCACCTCACACCGAAAAACTCTTCCAATTTAAAACCGACAATTCTGATGTTGGCACTGGAAATCATTGAGTTCGGCCTCTCATGCTGCTAGGCTGCTCTGGTGACTGCTCAGGAACACATCTGGAGCAGCTTCATGAGAATGAATTTCATGTGAGGTGGACAAAGGAGGTGATTTTAGACAATTCGCTATAGGAAAACTGGAACCCAGTTGGAGGCTTGCATTTTTGTCTTGGCATCCAGGTTTCCAACGGTGTGACAGTTTCTGAACTATCTTCAGGCCAGATGGAAGTTCCAGCTCATTTTCACCTGAAGTGATCTTTCACTGTGGAGTGGTTGCAATAAACACAGGAATATACCTTCTTAGTGTCTGGACCAGTGTGACCATGAGGGAGGGAGACCTGGCCTGCTTGTCATGCTGGACAGAACCAGTAAACATCATTTACACTTGTTAAAGTAAGGAAATTTTAACAAAAGTACTCTTTGACTTGACTTCAGATACGAAAGATGCAGAATAAGAAGGTGTTTAGCACACTAAAATTCATTACTCAGACCATTGAGTATAGGAGTTGGGGTGTCATTGTTGAGGTTGTACAGGATGTTAGGCCTCTTCTGGAATACTTTATCCAGTTCTGGTTGCCCTGTTATAGGGAGAATATTATCAAACTGGAGAGAGTGTCAGAAAAGACTTACCAGGATGGTGGCGGGAATGGAGGGTTTGCGATATCAAAATAGACTGGAAAGACTGGGACTTTTTTCACTGGAGCGTAGGAGGTTGAGGGGTGACCAAATAGAGGTTTATAAAATCATGAGGGGCATAGATAAGGAAAATGACAAGGGTCTTTTCCATAGAGAGTTCAAAACTAGGGACATATTTTTAAGATGAGAGAAGAAATATTTAAAAAGGACATGAGGGCAACTTTTTTTACACAGAGAGTGGTTCATGTGTGAAATGAACTGCCAAGGAAAGTGATGGGTGTAGGTACAGTTACAACTTTTAAAAGATATTTGGATACGTTTGTGATTAGGAAAGCTTTGGATGCTTATGGACCAAGCATAGGCAGATAGGACTAGTTTAGTTTGGGAACATGGTCGACATGGACTGTTTGGACCAAAGGGTCTGTTTCTGTGCTGTATGACTCTATGACTCTATGAATTGCACTATCAACTAAATTACAAAATATAAACATTTACTGATTGTGATATCTGGTATTGTGTATCACACAAGTGTGTGATGCCTCTTAGCTACATTTGTAAGAGATAATAGCCCACTCTTACTTGGACATAGCAATGCGTTTCATCATTGTCTGGTTGTGAATCGCTCAGTCGACTGATTTTTTTTTGAAAAGGTTTTCCGCCCTTAGATCTTGTCCAGTCCTGCTTGAACCCTGTGAGGAAACACTGATATCCAAACCCCAAAATCTCAGTAAAATGGAATGTGTTCCCTGCTGGGGCGGGGCGCGGGGTTGGGGGAGTGGGTGTGGAATTATTCAACAAACATTGGGGCCGAGTTATTCTAGAATTTATCCAAATTGCCGACGTAAGTGAGCACCTATCAATGGGGATATCCTTATAAATATTCATTATCAACTATTTTAAGCAGTTTGCAAATATCAGTGATGGAATAGTTATCTATGCGTCAAATAGCATTAGATCCAAGGGTTTAAAAATGAGTGCCGTTTAATTTTAATCCCAAGTATGCTTTTGTGGCAAACCTCATGAGGATTCTTTAAATTCAGATGCATGCAAAGCACTGGAGTTACTATCTGTGGTAGTAGCACATCTGTAGGCTCTTCTCTCTCCTTCTGTAATCAGGACAGGCTGTGACAATTGTCAGTGCATTGAGTACAGGAGTTGGGAGGTCATGTTGCGGCTGTACAGGACATTGATTAAGTCACTTTTGGAATACTGTGTTCAGTTCTGGTCTCCTTGCTATAACAAAGATGTTGTTATACTTGAAAGGGTGCAGAAAAGATTTACAAGGACGTTGCCGAGATTGGAGGGTTTGAGCTATAAAGAGAAGCTGAATAGGCTGGGGCTATTTCCCCTGGAGCATCAGAGGATGAGGGGGGACCTATAGCAGTTCATAAAATCACAAGGGGCATGGATAGGGTAAATAGCCAAGGTCGTTTTCCCAGGGTAGCAGAGTCCAAAACTAGAGGCTTTAGGTACAAGGTGAGAGGGGAAAGATTTAAAAGGGACCTAAGGGGCAACTTTTTCACGCAGAGGATGGTGTGTGTTGGGAATGATCTGCCAGAGGAAGTGGTGGAGATTGGCACATTTACAACATTTACAAGGCATCTGGATGGGTATATGAAAAGAAGGGTTTAGAGGGATATGGGTGAAATGCTGTCAGATGGGATTGGATTAACTTAGGATATCTCATCTGCATGGACAAGTTGGACCGAATGGCCTGTTTCCGTGCTGTACAGCTCTATGACTCTATTACACTCTGCATTTGTGACCCTTATTTGCCTCTATCTGTTCCTTCATGACTGTTCTGTATTCTTATCTTTTATTATCTTAATTTCCAGGAGCTACAAGCAGAAAGAAAACTAAGAAATGTTTAGCACTAAAAGGCAAGTGTGAATATTCTGTTTGTGAGATTGCTCTATTTCTCTTTCCCTATCTCAACCATTTAACAATGCTATCTAAAATCAAAACATCTCCAAGCACATTGTACATTGCAGTAATTTTTGACATCTGTGCACTTGTTGTTCTAAACAAGTAGATCAGTTATTATGTAACCCACAACAACACAGGTAAATAAACCACAAATCTCTCTATGTTGCTGGTATTCACTGATGGATGGCTTAGAATCTGGACACTGGTGAAATGCCTGCTCTATATCAAACAAGCTACCTGACCTTTCAGATCCATCTTAGTCAGAAAACAGGATTTCCATTTAACAATATGTCAGAGGGATACCATCACCAGCAATGACTCTGACACCCATATTAACGTGTCTGGAATGAGGTTAGATCAACTCACAGTCTGAGATCAGATCTGCAAGCCCCTGGCCCAGGTCTAATAATGGTAGGAACTACAAGGAACTGGCACATGTTGAATAAAGGTGTAAGGTCCATGCGAGAAATGGCCTAAGTACTGTCTATTATGATGTAACATATAGAATTTGTGGGAGACCAGCTCAGGATCTCAAAGGAGTAAGACCTACTGTCTGGGTCTTCCTCATTGCCTTTGAAACAATGTCTATCATATTAATGTAATTCATGTTTAATTGTTATTTCACAAGAAATTATTTATGTCAAGAGCCTCTTTTTGTTCCACTACCAAGTGGCTTTCCACCATTTCACCAAACCAAGCGTGTCCCTTAAATCCTTATCAGGAAAGCGGACAGTGACTGTCAATCTACCAGATTGCTCATCATGTTGGTGTGAGCTATGGTGAGGATTTACCTCACTCCAGCACACTTGTCATCTCCCATTAGTATTTATTGCAAGAACACACACGATTGATAGAACAGGATAAATCCTGTTCTAGTCCATTCGATCTGCCCCCAACATGAACAGCCAGAACATTATCGACACACCTCAAATCTTGTTTCTCAGAAGGACAGTAAAAGAAAGCTCAATTGGTGAAATGCTGGGGTCTAAAGGAAGCTCTCAGGTTGTGTCCTGTCACAATGCCTTCCTGGACTGATCTACATAAATACCGTAAACACTTGAAGAGGTTGTGTTAAATGCAGCTGATAAATAATATCTTTAACCATTATTACTGCTCCTAGTGGAATCATCCAATAAAATAATTTACAATCATTGAATCCCTATAGTGTGGGGGCAGGCCATTTTGACCCATTGAGTCCACACCATCACTCTGAAAAGCATCAACCTCCTACCCTATCACGCAAAATCTCCCATGGCCAATCCACCCAACCTGCACATCTTTGGACTGTGGGAGCAAACCCATGCAGACACAAGAAGAATGTGCAAACTCCACACAGACAGTTGCTCGAGGGTGGAATCGAACCCACTCCCTGGTGCTGAGAGGCAGCAGTGCTAATCACTGAGCCACCCCAATTTCTTAAAAGGAAATTAACAGTGACTGAAAAGTTGATGCCAAGTACCTGATGCTTGCTTAATTAAAAGCAGGGAGCTACAGAACTGGAGTAAGAGATTTGAGTTTCCTCATTCATTTGCCTTTTCCAATGAGCCACTGGGAGCAATCTGTATAGAATGTGCTCAGAGGAAGGGTTTCTGGTGCCTGTCTCTGATGAGCTCAATTTTTTGCACAAGTGGTGAATTATGTATGTTTTTCTTTGTAAATTTAAGGCTTCGCTGACCGTAAGCTGACGTCCAAAGAGAGACAAAGCCAGCTTGAACGAGAGAAGCTGTGGACTCTGGACGGTAAGGGAATCTTTCCATTGTTTTAACTATATTTTTCTCTCCACATCAGTAACCAAGCTGTGCTCTGAAAGCACTAGCTGAGTTCTGGGTCCATTAAACTGTGTGATTAATTATTATCAAGCTGTTTGCCTCCAGCTGTGGTTTCAGAGGGCATTTCTGCTCCTGATTCAGTGACTGACCGAACCCTCCTGCACTGAGGGGTTGCTGAGTAACAGAAAGCCAGGAAACAGAAGAACAACAGGTTGTTAAAGTACTTGTAAAAATCAGCAGGTAAGAATAAAACGGAGCTGGAAAAAATCTGAATCACTACAACATTGTAAGTTATTCAAATCTTAACAGAGGTAAGAAAAGTGATTTTTAATGCATTGTGCGTGTTTTAAGAATTAATTACTGTGGTTTATAATGCAGATTTATCACAGAATATTTGTGTTAAGTATTCAGGGCTTTTAAAGATTCCCTCAAGGGAAAATTATAGATGGTAAACCAATGGTGAAAGCATGCAGATGAATATTCAACTAATGATAAATTTGTATCCTCTTTAAAATTGCTGAGTGCTACTTTGTGTAAGCATTCAATCTATCTATTTGACCCTTGCAAAGAAAAAAAAACAAGAATCATTTTGGTACAGAGATAGTAGGAACTGCCGATGCTGGAGAATCTGAGATAACAAGGCGTAGAGCTGGATGAACACAGCAGGCCAAATGGTTCCATTTCTGAAGAAGGGTCTCGACCCGAAACGTCAGCTTTCCTGCTTCTCTGATGCTGCTTGGCCTGCTGTGTTCATCCAGCTCTACACCTTGTTGTCTAAGAATCATTTTGGATTGTTTTTCCTCCTTTAGATCTGTTATGAACATAAGCAGTTTTCCCATTGAAAAGTCCTTAATTTACATTATTCTTGTTAATTTTAGGCAAACAATCTGCAGATTATGCGCAGTCTCATACTAACTCCACTCTGCCTGCAGAATCTGAGGTATCTTGCTTTTTAAATTCATGTTTATAAGTGCAGTGCTACTTTCTTCCTGATAGCTGTAGGAGTTATTATTTTACAATATTTTACATGCAATTTTGCACACACTCCTCAGTGCAAAGTTGCTCTGTGAAGTAAGCAGTCAACTGTAGCTGAATGCTGTGTATATTGCAAGTCATTGTTCTTTCACATTTAATTGTCTTGTCAATTCAGTAACAGGACACAGCCTTACCGAAGACTCGCGCCTCCCGTACTATTCTGGAGGTGCTGAGTTAAACCACAGCTACTGTTTTTATCTCCTGGCAGAACTCTATAATCCACATTGAATTGGAAAAACCAGCATGTGGCGGTTTGGGCTTTGCACTGGTGGGTGGTGACAACGGAACTAGTGCCCTTGTGAAGGCGATTAGCCCAGGCAGTGTGGCAGATCTGGATGGGAGACTGAAAGTGCGAGACAGTCTATTGCAGGTAATGTCTGTTGGCTGCTAAAACCCACCAGTTGGTTGCTCTGAGTTGCAAATCAATTGATTCACATGATTCGTGACAAAGATCACACCCGCATTTATTTTGCATCTCCCATGATCTCAGGAGGTCCTGAGCCATTGAACTACATTTGAAGTGCAGTCACTGTTATGCAATGGCCAATTTGTGCACAGCAAAATCCCACTAACGTCAATATAATAATCCTCAAAGAATCTGCCTTTAATAATACTGGTTCAGTGATTGCTATTGGCCAAGACGCTGCAGATAACTCCTCAAACCTTCTTTGAAACAGTGCCATGGGATCTTTTATATTCATCTGAGATAGGACAGACATAATATCTCATCTGAAAACATCTCGACTGTGCAACATTCGTGTCTAAATTGTACTGGATGATCAGCCTAGATTCATTTGTTGAGGCTCTGGGATGCCTCCTTAATGTGCTACCAATGCAGTATTTGAAAAATTCCGAGAAAACTTTCAAACTTTCCAAAATTCATGCTGCAACTTTGGTGGAAGGTCACCAGGGAAAGGCTGCTTGTGTTGGTTTTTGTAGAGTTTTGCTAATCACTGATGCAGCAAGCAATCAGGAACAATAATAGGGTTGCTACTGAAAACGCACAAAATTCATAAAGTAAACTATTGTACATTAAATCTGGTTTACAGTTACATGTCATTGTAAAGTTAGAGGATAACTCCTCAGGTGGTAGTGGATGATCCGATCTCTATATTTTTTAACCTTTATGTATTTATTATCAATTGGAAAGTTCATGTTATCTGTATTGTTGATTTACTTATTATAAGAGATAGAGCTGAATTGTTGCTAGAAATCTGGTCATTCGAGTTGGTACACCTACATGAAAGGTAGCACAATGTAGTCAGTAAAATGCATTCAGGAATGTATTTAGACACGGGGAATACACTTAGACTTGGATCAGTTTTATTTTGGTAAACAACGCAATCAGTCCTGAGAGTTTCATCTCGGACAAAACTTTTCTCCTAAAAAAAACGTTAACTTTGCAGCATTATGTACAGTAGGAAAACTAGAAGTGGTGCTGACTGGATACTTAAAATCACATGTGCACTCTGCATCTAACAGAAGATTGTTTTAAATGACAAAAAGCTTTGCAAATTTTCACAATGCAGATATATATCCACACTTTTCCCATTATTGTTGAAGGGATTTGTATAAAAAATAGGAAAAAAGCCAATAGCTAGGATCAGGTTAAAGCATTCCTTATAATTATTTGACTCTTCTCTGTATTGCCATGGCAAATCACAGAATCCCTACGGTGTGGGAGCAGGCCATTTGGCCCATTGAGTCCATATCAACCCTCCAAGCAGCATCCCACCCAGAACCTCCCACCACCCTATCCCTGTAACCCTGCGTTTCCCATGGCTAATCTACCTAGCCTGCACATTCCTGGTCACTGTGGGCAATTTAGCATGGCCAATCCACCCTAACCTGCACATCTTTGGACTGTGGGAGGAAACCAGAGCACCCGGAGGAAACCCACGCAGACATGGGAGAATGTGCAAACTCCACACAGACAGTCGCCCGAGGGTGGAATCAAACTTGGGATAGTGTTGTTGTGAGGTGGCAGTGCTAACCACTGAGACACCATGTCATCCATCTTATCAATAATTGTGGCACAAGCCAAACTTCAGACATACAAGGATGCAAGTCAGCTCAGAGAGAGGCACCATCTGGTATTTACCAGTCAAAGCTATCATTTATATCCTCGGACAAAAGGAAATGCAATGACAAATGTTGGATTCACTACCCAGGAGCTGGAAGCTGTAAATCTGGTCTACAGTTGGCTCATTGCATTTTGCGTAGAAGAAATGGGCCGATCTTTCTGAACTTTTGCTGAGGGCCAGTGTAAAACACATTAAGTTCAAAATTTGATGTAAATGGTTCCCTTGATGAATCTGGATCTTTCTTACTATCTCTTCATCATTGGCCTTTCTTGTGCATTTGAAACTGTTGTAGTGGAGTGGGAATGATCAGGCCTAGCTGATTAGGCTTCGTAAAGGTGAGTGTTATTACTCGACTTTTGGTTTTCAAATTGGTTATTTTTTGTAAACATTGTTTCTTAATTATCGGAATTCTTGCATCAGTCTTGCTGTTTGGTGCTGATATATTTGCATTGTAAAACATATTTTTCTGAGTAGCTAAATAAACGATTTCACTTGCAGCCATTGAAGTTGGATTGGGGTTGATTTTGAGATACCAATGCCATTTCCTAATGCTGGGAAAGACAAGTGGTTTCTATGGGGATAAGGAAAGCAGATACTTCTCTTCCTCATACTTAATGTACAGATCCCAAATGTGCATTATTGGCTTCGCTTCAACCTATCCACTACGTCTCAGAGGAGAACTGTTACTGCTTTTTTCACTTCGTAAAGGGCTACCATGGGGAATCCATCTCTTGAGCCACAACTTATACCACAGAGGCACCTCTTCCTTGGCCAGTTCACAAGTCCTTTCAAATTCTTGCACTTGTATCCTCGCCTGCATGTCCTGAAGTACTAGTCTTACCCAGCCTATCTAGTATTACAGTTATTTACCAGCCACCACAAAGTGGAGCTTTTCCATTCCACCACTTTGCAGTAAATGTTGTAGCCACACTAAGTGTTCCTTCATTTAATTTCAGCGTAGTACTGCTCACTTCTTAACCTCAATTTAAAACCCATTTTGGAGCTTCATAAAGATTGAAGCAGTACTTACCTCTACACACAGATAAGCATGTACCTCTTTGCTTCTGTGCATCACAGTTGGGCTGGCTATTGGTGCAAGGCCAAAGTTTTGCTCATTATTCAAATGTCCAGTCCTAAGGAAATGAGGAGCCATCACTTCTTTGAGCTGTCTTGGGTCAGGCAATTAGAATCGTAGGATCCCTACAGAGTGGAAGCAGACCATTTGGCCCATCAAGTCCATGCCAACTCTCCAAGGATCATCCCACCCAGACCCAGTGCCCCTTTTCCTATTCCTGCATTTCCCATGGCTAACCAACCAAGTCTGCCCATCGTTGGACACTATGGGCAGTTTACCATGGCCAATCCACCTAACCTCACATCTTTGGACGGTGGGAGGAAACTGGAGCATCTGAAGGAAACCCACACAGACATAGGGAGAACGTGCAAACTCCACTCAGACAATCGCCCGAGGTCCCTGGCGCTGTGAGACGGAAGTGCTAACCACTGAGCCACCATATCGCCCTCTAATAGAGAAGTCACCATAGTCCTACTGGACTGTAGGGCTGCTCTCTTAGTGTTACTGATTAAGCACAATTGAGACAGTGGACTATGTACAATAATTTAAATAAGTACTTGCATCAGAGGAAGGAAAAGAAGATAGATACTGGCTGAAGCAGAAACAACGACAGTCGTAAAAGACTTGGAGGAGACAGAAGCTACACAATGCTATCAGTGACAACAAGAAGGGACCAAACTGAACATAAAGAAGGATAAAGATTTGACACAACATTCCGAAGACATGGTTGTGATCCTTTTTACTGACATCTAAACTTAATTAAAGAGGATGTATTTACTATGAATTAGCTATGACCACAAAATACGATACAAACTCTTCTATAATTCTGAAACTCTGTTCTTTCATATTCCATTGAATCCCATTACTGTTGTAATCTTGAAGCCAAATCCACAAGGTTATTGTGAACATGACTCTGAATACTTTGTTTTGTATGTGTCAAGCAAGGGAAGTAAAGTAGCAGCAGCAATATAATCTTGTGTGACTACTTATTTGTTGATATCTGCTAAGCCAAGTGTTAAATGGTTTTCAATGAGTGGTTTTCAATTAATTTGAGTCAAGAAATTGACAACATTTTTCCATAACTTGCTGAAGAACCAAACTTTACGTTGTACCTTTATCCCTGTGCTATATGTATTATATACTTTTGGTATGGGATATGAGCATTGGTACATCAACATTTTTCAGCACCTCATTTCCATCTTAGTTTGTGATTGTTAAAGTTAATCACCTGAGTTTTTCTGAAATGGGACACCTCATGATGTGCCCCCTTGGTCACACTTACTTACATACATTTAGGTTTTAACAGTTTTCCCTACAAAGTTGCTGGAAGTGTGCCCTGATAATGGCAAGCAGGGGGGAAACAGGGCAACGTCTTGGTGAACAATGAGATTTAAAGATTGGAAACTAAATAAAGAAAGAAGGGTGAATCAGAGAGATTGAATTCAATTTCAAACCAGACACAGATAGTGAATTATATGGCCTCACTGGACCGTTAATCCAGAGACCCAGATAACATTCTGGGGCCCAGGTTCGAATCCCACCACAGCACATGGTGGATCAGAGATAGTAGGAACTGCAGATGCTGGAGAATCCGAGACAACAAGGTGCAGGGCTGGATGAACACAGCAGGCCAAGCAGCATCATAGGAGCAGAGAGGCTGACGTTTCGGGCCTAGACCCTTCATCAGAAATGGCCTGCTGTGTTCATCCAGCCCTGCACCTTGTTGTCT